TTAGGCTACTTTAACATTATTTTAGTAACTGTCAAGTGAACTGTCATCAGAGCTGGCATCCGTTTAATAATTTTAATTAAAATTATAATTTACACTCAATACGTTATTATTCCATACTGTTTTATAATGTACTATAATACTGAGGTGCAGATAATTGCCACTATTTGCAATAAATAGTATAAACAGCAGAAAATCCTGCTATTGGCATTTTACTGCTATTTTAACATTGTGTAAATAGAATCTATCACTATCTGCACTTAGTGTAAATAGCATATTGCTAAAAAATACTGCTGTTTTCACTTAGTGTAAATAGAATCCATTGCTATTTGCACACAGTGAATAGCATCTACACTGGAAAAAATTTGGAGTAGGATTTACTTTGAAACAACTTTCACTCAGAAAAGGCTAGTTAATTTACAAAAATTTGGCAAGTAAAAACCTAAACATAATTATTATTAGCTTTAAAAAGGCATTTTTAAATTAAGTTTACTTGGGAATTCTATTTGTAAATTTTATTGACTCTTTCTTTGTAAATTTTACTTACGTACAATTAAAAAAAAATGTGCTGTTAAATAACAGTAATTGATTGCACTGGAAATATCAATAAACAAGATTTTCAAGTTTTCACACATTAATATTTTAAATAAAATTTGAGGATTTGTAAATAAGCAAATAGTCAGTTACTTATCCTTTTGAGATAATATGCCCACTCAACATAATTATTACCTTAATGAACACAGAGACCTCAATACTTGGTACACAATACACAATGACGGTAACAATCAGTGAATAGTGTTTGAGTATGAATGGGTCATTTTGAGTAGAAAATTAACTCCAGATGTCACAAAACAGTAAGTTACTAAACCTAACAACAAAAGCAACCATACAACAGTGTAAATACTATGGAAGCCCGTTTCCGCCACTGAATAAAAAAATATAATTCTGTAAGTCATAATAATGAGAAACTTTCTCAAAATTATGACTTAGTATCTCGTTATAATGAGAAACTTTCTCTAAATAATGACTTATTTTCTCATAATAATGACTTAGTTTCTCATAATAATGACTTAATTTCTTAATAATGACTTAGTTTCTCATAATAATGACTTAGTTTCTCATAATAATGACTTAGGTTCTCATAATAATGACTTACTTTCTCATAATAATGACTTACTTTCTCATAATAATGACTTAGTTTCTCGTAATAATGACTTGCTTTCTCATAATAATGACTTACTTTCTCATAATAATGACTTAGTTTCTCGTAATAATGACTTGCTTTCTCATAATAATGACTTGCTTTCTCATAATAATGACTTACTTTCTCATAATAATAACTTACTTTCTCATTATTATGACTTAGTTTCTCGTAATAATGACTTACTTTCTCATAATAATG